GGCCAGGATCCTCTCCTTCAACTCCTCCAGCTTCCCGCTGTAGGCCAGGTTGCAGACCATTAGGTTAGACACACACCCCTCCATGTCTCTTTCCCAGGATCTCCGTGAAGCGCGACCCACGACCGCCTCACGTCGCCAGCTATAATTGCCAATCAAAAGAGCCGGCTGAGTTCCACCAATCACTGGTTTTCCTCGTTCCTTTGCTTCTTTCCCACCCCGGGGAGCCTCTGGGAGTTGCAGTTTGAGCGCCGTTCTGGGCGGGGAGGCGCCGTTGCTGCTCTCTCCGACTCTGCCCCTAGCAGCGCGGAACTACAGGTCCCAGGGTCCCTTGCGGCCGCCGTAGTCAAGTGGCCGGTGGAATTGGCCCAGGATGACAGCTGGAGAATGGAGTCAGGTACGGGGAGCGGCTTCGTGTGGAACCGGGGTGGGTGGTCGCTGTTGGGCCATTGAGTCGGCCGCGAGAAACGGGTGCGGGGTCCTGGCAAGAGAGTTATGGGAGCCTGAGGGTCCTGTCCCACGGGGGCCCTGACCTGCAGTGGCAGGCGGAAGGGACAGCAGTAGGAGCTGAGGACTACCTCCTGGGCTCGTGCGGGTGGCGGCGGCTACCCTCCCCCTCCCTGCCGCCGCCAAAGGAGTGGAAACAAGTAGGGGTTAATTATTCTGACATCTCGGCGGAGTGGCATCAGGGCAGAATTCTGTCACAGCAGTGATAGCATTGCTCCGTAGTAAGGTGATGTGCCAGGGTGATGCCAAAGGCAGGGTGTGAGGCCATAGGAGCCACTTGATATCTAATTGACCTCGGTGAGTCCATGGCCTGGTGACATCACAACTTGATGAGAGTCATCTTGATACTGTGGTATGGTGTTGGCCCTTTAATGTCATGATAATAACGATGACATCGAGGCTTTGCTAGAAATATTAAGCTAATAGTGTTTCTATTTATGGAAATCCCAAAGAGATGCAAGGCTTATCCTTTATAGGACATATCCAGGAGGGCTTTATGCCAAAACTAGGTAATGATAAGAATACACTCAAGAAAGAGACTGATTATGTTTATATTTATCCTGTTATGGTGTAGAGCAGGGCTTGGCAAACTTTCTGTGAAGCGCCAGATAGTAAATAGTTTAGGCGTTGCAGGCCAAAAGGCAAAATTGTGGATAATTTGTGGGCACTTACATAACAAGAGAGAAAACAAATTTCAACAAATGTTTATTGATGAAATCCAAAATAAAACAATAGTTGAGTACTTTTTTTTTTGTTATACAGGACTACTAGTAGAAATAAAGGAATTCTTTTGGGGGGGATAACATTTTATTTAATTGGGGCTCACAGAGTTCCCCATCTTAAAAATCATGTCAGATGTTCATCCGTTAATGCTGATCTGTAATGAGATTTTCTTATTTCATCTTTGTAAATGTCTTTTCACAATGATAGGTACTGCCAAATACTGATATCAACCCACAAGCATATTCTTGTTAATTTTTATTTGATTTTTAAAATTTCCGAATAGCTTTAGCTTTATAGAAAAATCGCAAAGGTAGTACAAAATTCCTGTGTACCCTTCACCCAGTTTCCCCTACTGTTCTTTTCTTATTTTTAACAGCTTTATTGAAATGTATTTTATGTACCATAAAATTCATTCAGTTCAAATGTATAATTAAATGATTTTTAGTAACTTGACTGAGTGGTGCAACCATCACCATAATCAGTCTTAGAACATTTTCACTCCCCCAATAAGATCCTTCATGCTCATTTATAGTTAAAACTTGTTCCCACTCCCAGCCCCAGGTAATGACTAATCTACCTTCTGTCTCTATAAATTTGCCTATTCTTGACATTTCATCTAAATAAAATCTTACAATATGTGGTCTTTTGTGCCTGGCTTCTTTCACTTAGCATGATATTTTTAAGGTTCATCCATATTGTAGCATGTATCAGTACCTCATTAATTTTTATTTCCAAATAGTATTCTATTTTATGGCTATAACACACTTTTTCTGTCTACTCAGTAGTTCATAGGTTGTTTCCAACTGTTGGCTATTACTACTAATGTTAGCTGCTAAGAACATTTGTGTACAAGTCGGCCCGTGGACCTATGTTTTCATTTCTTTTTTTTAAATTTTTTATTGTTATGTTAATCACCATATATTACATCATTAGTTTTTGATGTAGTGTTCCATGATTCATTGTTTGTGCATGTTTTCATTTCTTATCGGTAGATACCTAAGGGTGCGATTACTGGGACACATGGCAAATTTATCTTTAACTTTTCGAGGAACTGCAAAACTGGTTTCCACGATGGCAGCACTATTTGCTTTTGGGCCAGCAATGTAGGAGGGTTTCTGTTTCTCCAAATCCTTGCCAACATTTGTTATTGTCTGTCTTTTTACCATAGCCATTCTAAATGGGTGTGAAATGATAACTCATTGTGGTTATAATTTGTATTTCCTTAATGACTAATGATGATGAGCATCGTCTTGTGTGCTTATTAGCCAGTTGTGTATCTTCTTGGATGAAGTGTCTGTTCACATATTTTCCCCATTTTTGAATTGAGTTATTATCTTTATTGTCTTTTTATTGTTGAATTGTAAGAATTGTTTATACCTTCTAGATACAAGTCCTTGCCAGATATATGATATGTGGATATTACTACTAGCCTGTTGCTTGCCTTTTCATTTTCTTAATGGTGTCTTTTGAAGTGCAAAGGTTTTGAATTTTGATGAGTTCCAATTTATAATTTTTTCTTTTGTGAACCATGCTTTTGGTGTTTTACATTTTTTAAAGTGTACAGTTTATTATTAATGTATTTTAGAGTTGTGTTACCATTAACACAATCTTATTTAAAAGATTTCCATCACGCCGGAAAGAAACCTCGTGCCCATTTCAGTCACTCCTCATTGCTACTCCCAGCCTTAGGCAACCAATAATCTATTTTCTGTTTCTATGGATTTTCATTTTCTGGGTTTTCATACAAACAGACACAATATGTGGTCTTTTGTGTCTACCGTCTTTCACTTAGCATGTTTTTGACCTTTATCCAAATTTTACTATGTAGCAGTACTTTATTCCTTTTTATAGCTGAATAATATTCCATTGTATGGGTATACAATATTTTATTTATCTGTTCATCAGTTGATGGGAGTTGAGGTGGTTTCTACCTTTTGGTTGTTATGAATAATGCTCCTATAAACATTGGTGTGCAAGTTTCTGTGCAGACATGTGTATTCATTTCTCTTGGTACATATCTAGGAGTAGAGTTGCTAGGCCACAGGGCAGCTCTGTTTAACCTTGTGAAGAACTGCCAAACCGTTTTCTACAACAGCTGCACTGTTTTACAGTCCCACCAGCAACGTATGAGGGTTTCAATTTCTCCATCCCTTTACCAACACTTGTTAATGTCTGTCTTTTTGATTATAGCCATTCTAGTGGGTGTGAAGTGGTGTATCATTGTGATTTTGTTGTTTTGACTTGTTATGGGAAGTGTGTAAAGCATGTTGACCTTACTTTTGGTTCAAACAGTGGTAGTTGTTGAAATGACTTTTCTACAATGTAAGTTTCACAAAGAAGTGCTGTTTTGCCTTGTTATTTTAGATTGAATTAATTAAGAAACATTATCAAGTCTGCAGCAAAAGCTCATTTCCAGAGCCATTCAGTGTTTGATTTTGTCCAACAGTTTAAAAATGTAAAAATCATTCCTACTTTGTTTCTCAGATGAAAAACATGAGTGGTCTTAATCTGGCCTGCCAGATGCAGTTTGCTGGTGGTGGGTCTAGAGTGAGTGTCCTGTATGTAGTAGGTGTTCAATAAATATCTTGTTAATTACAGAGATACAGCAGGCTGGTTGTGTGGTATTCACACAGGATTGAATATAGTAATATTTTACCTTAATAATACATCAAGGAATTGGATTTGATTGCTAAGAACAGCTGGAAAAACAACTCTAAGTACCTCTCCTACTGAGTGACTTGTTTGGGTTATCTTCTTTTGTAGATGGTGTCTTGTACTTTTATTTTATTTATTTTTATTTAATTAATTTTTAAATTTATTTTATTTTTTCTTTTGCTACCATATGGCAGTTAACTTTCAATTCTGAGTCCCCTGAGGCTAAGGGTAAGGTAACCCTTGACTTTTTGAAGGCTGAAAGACAAACAGATCTATAAGGGAGAAGGTTTCTTTTGTCTCTGGCCCCAAGTTATGGAGGAGCAAGGTGGTGACTGTTTATCAAGAGTCAAAGGAGGCCCCTCTTAGGGACTGACTCCCTTGTTGCTCATATGATTGAATGTTTCCTGTTGCCTTTTCTACATGGTCACCTAGATTTTAGGTCCTAGAACAAGCCAGATTCATCTTCTGGACTAAGAATAACTAACATTTATCAATCACATGTGTCAGATACTGGTCTTATATCTCATTTAATCCTTCACGACAATCCTACGAGGTAGGTACTATTATCCCTCCAGTCCCCACCTATTTAAAAATGAGAATGCAGGTTCAGAGAATCGAAGCAATCTAACATGCCTAAGGCCACACGATTTGGTAAAAGTTGGAGCTAAAATTGAAATCTGGGCCTAACACCCTAGCACTTAACCACTGCAACATAGTGCTCAATATTGCTGAAAATGAAATTATATATAAATGAAAACCTCAGATAAGGCAACACTAATTCCTATAGCTCTTTCAGGCTATAACTCTACCTCTGATAGTAAGAAATGACATGTTTTTCATGCTCTAGAGCAATGCTGTTGTATAGAACTCTTTGTGATGATGGAAAAGTTCTATTATCTATGCTGTTCTAGTATGGTAGTGTTAACTTTAAAAATAAAACTGTTGGGGCGCCTGGGTGGCTCAGTTGGTTAAGCATCTGCCTTTGGCTCAGGTCATGATCCCCAGGTCCCAGGGTCCTAGGATCGAGCCCAGCATCGGGCTCCCTGCTCTGGAGGGAGCCTACTTCTCCCTCTCCCTCTGTCTACTGCTCTGCCTACTTGTGCTCTCTCTCTCTGTGTCAAATAAATAAATAAAATCTTTAAAAAAATAAAAAAATAAAAATAAAATAAAACCGTCAGTTACTTTAACGGCAAAAATGGGTTTATTCAGGAATAGCAGAGAATCACAATTCAGGATGTGCAAG